GGGAGGAAAGAAGGGAGGGAGGGAAGGAGAGAAGGAAGGGAGGAAGGAAGGATGGACAATTTTGGTTCATTTGAGAGTATAGTCCATCATGGTGTGGGAAAGTCATCTCAGTAAGAGGTGAAAAGTCTGGTCCCATTGCATTCATCCAGGAATAGAGATGAGTTCTGGCATTCCTTTCACCTTCTCTGTTTAATTCTCTCTGGGACCCCTGTGCATAGGATGGTTCAGCTTCCCACCTCTCTGCAAATGATGTCAGATGGAGAAGGAGGTTTGTCTCCTAAATTCAGTTAAGTTGACAATCAAGGTTAACCAAACCAGGGACTGAAGTGACATCTCAGTGAGTAAAGGTGCTTGCTGCCAAACCCTATGACCTGAATGTCACTCCCAGAGCCTGCGTGGTAGAAGAGAACTGACTTAAGTTGTCCTCTGACTTCTACATGTCCTGAAGAGGCCTATGTGGCATTTGTATACATGCATCCACATGTACACACACACACACACACACACACACACACACACACACACACTAGATTTGAAAAGAATTAGTAACACCAGGAAAGTTTGGGCAAAGCTTCCATGAGGGATTGACTAATACCAACAGGGAGGGTGTGGGCTTTGAAAAATAGTAGCAGCTATGTAAGGAGGAGATCACTAATGGCTGTAGAAGTTCCATGGCATGTGGACTTGTGCCAGGTTGTAAGGAATAAATAACAGACCCTTTCCCTTCTCCTCTTCTTCCTCCTCTCCCTTCATCTTCCTTTTTGTGTTCTACTTCACTAATATTTATTGGTATTTATTTCTAGAGAATACATTCAAAGAGACATTAGTACTGAAACTGAATGTACAGTCTTGATTTCTATTGAATATGGGACAAAACCACCCTTTACTACTCATTTTCTTTCACTGAGTTATGATAGTTCATATCTACCAGTATGTCCCAGAATTTCTATGAGCATTTGCTACTATGCAAATACCTGAGTGTTCATCTCACAGCATAGTGGAGTCTGGATACAAATGAGGCCATTTCCTGCTCATTTCAAGCCTGTAAAATGGGGTTCCACATGAGTCCCAAGCTGTGTGTCTCATCTGAAAGTCCCTGAGTGCTGCTGCCGGCACATCTGTGCTCCGTCAGCACATTGACAGTCTGTGCAAGAGAACTGTAAAAAGCATCATACTTTGTGTTGCTGGTCAGGTTTTCTGCTGGCTCTGTTACATTGTGTAACTCAGAAAATTCCCCATGAGCTCCAACTTTAACCAAAGTAGAGAGCATGTGAGAGCCCTGAGTACTGACCATCCATGTGGTCACCTTGGCTCCCATTTTGAAAAAAGATTGACAGAGCAGGTGATCTGAAGTCTCTGGCAGTGACTTTTTCTTCCCAACCCAGTCGTTTCTGAAAATTGTGCGGTCCCAGATACCTCATTACATTCTGACAAGTCACTTGGAGGAAGGTAGTACCTTTGCCAGCCAGCTCAGGTAGCAGGCATCTGTCTTTGTGTAAGCCAGCCTAGTGTTATTACTCATACCTGCTTCCACCTCTGTATCACAGGACTGCAGTATTCAGCCAGTTCATTATTAGTCTTGCCTAGTGAGCATGCAAACAGGAGATTTCCTTGTTAGAAAATAGCAATACACTGATTCTCCATCCTGTTACATCTCAATACATGCCTGGGATTCTTTGGTTTGAGCTTTTGATTGCCACATTGACAAGTGGACCCCGGTTTTTCTTCCTATATTAAATGGAAAAAAATACTTCCTTGTACAGCAAGAATATTCTGTAATTGGGGCTGGAGAGATGCCTCAGTTATTTAGAGTACTTGCTGGTCTTTCAGAGGTCTGGTTCCCAACACCTACATGAGGCTGACAACCATCTTTAACTCCAGCACCCTCTTCTGGCCTCCATAGGTATCAGACATGCATGAGGTGCACATACATACATACATGCAGGCAACACACACACACACACACACACACAGATCTTAAAAATCTAAAAGAAAATCCTATAGAATCACTGGGTTTGAAAGAAAAATAGTATTAAGTAGTTGATTTTGGTTTCTGACTTTGCCTGTGTTGACCTGATGAATCTTTCTAGGGAGGGATGAGGGGCCTCTGCTTGATGGGGTGAGGTCCAGTGGAAGCTCCTTAATTGTATGGCAGTTTGTATTGTTAATGGCATGCTGGAACAGCTACCTAGTGAACAATCTACATGCAAAGCGATTTGATACCAGCGAGTTTATTGGCTCCAGGTAGCTGAGTAAGGCACCCAGAGGTTAAACGGTTTGCCGCAGGCCACCCAGCAAGTGTGTGGTTGAACCAGATTTAGAACAGAGGTCTAATTAGCTTTTGACTTCCAGCTTGGTGCTAAGGATCACCACTCTGTACCCACACACTGGAGTTCACTTGTCAGGGGAAGGAACACTTCATATTTTGACTTGTCTGCATATGGTACTATTATTATTATTATTTATTATTTAATTTGAAACCAAGTGAGGCAACCTGTAAGAGGTATTAATTGTAGACAGTGAAGTATACTCAAAGACAGTAGAGTACAAGGAAAGATAAAATTCCAAAAAAAGTAAGTGTAGAAAAGGGATTCCTCAAAAGATGCTGAAATAGTGATTGTATGGGAAGGTAAAGGTACTTCCGCTGGCCATCAGATTCCTGACTTTACACTGGGATTTGAGAGACTGACTGGTTGGTCACTGGAGCACAAGTAAACCAAGGGTGTGGTGAGAGCCTGGGGCTATATAAAAAGTTCTTTCTAGCTTTGACAGACATAGGGAGGAGTAAAGAAGTAGGTGGTGTAGGTCACACACACACACACACACACACACACACACACAAGCACATATGTACAACCCCACTGGGTTTGAAATGGTAGGTAAGAAAAGGAATACTGGTAATCCTAGGAGATTAATTTACTGATCTATGTGATGATATCTCTTCTATAAAATGGGAATCTTGTACTTTATGTTCACATGAATGTATTCATTTTTCTTATACAAGATGAAATTGGAAAAACATCCTATTTCACACTTCAGAATTACAAAAACGCATTACATAATTCAAGAAGCTGAAGCTTAACTTAAGACTCAGAAAGAATAAATTCAAACCCTGTTTGCAGCTCAAAACATTGGAAACATTGTGTGACTTTTTTTTTTTTAAAGATTTATTTATTACATATACAGTGCTCTGTCAACACGCCAGAAGAGGGCACCAGATTGAATTGTAGATGGTTGTGAGCCACCATGTGGTTGCTGGGAATTGAACTCAGAACCTCTGGGGGAGCAGCCAGTGCTCTTAACCTCTGAGCCATCTCTCCAGCCCCCATTGTGTGACTTTTTAACAAAATAAATATTAAAACACACAAAGAGTCAAGTTCATAGTCACCACCTCTGTATAAGGGAAGAAGCTGACCACATTCCCATGATCTGCATATGTCATTGACATATCTAAAGGGATAGGGTCCCCTTGGTGGAGTGCTTGCCTGGCATGCTTGAATACCCGTGCTTGATCCCCAGCGTTACTTACAATCAAGTGTGGTAGGGAACATCTAAAACCCCAGAGCTTGGAAGCTGGAGGCTGGGGAATCAGGAGTCAGGGTCATGTGCAGTTTTGTAGTAGATTTGAGGAGCTTGGTAAATAAATAGACAAATACAAGTTTGTGTATACTGGTCTAATTTACATATATTAAATAGTATAGTTTGGTGCTGTTGGTTTAAATATACTTGTTTACTGGCTAAGAGCTAAAAATGAATTGATTAACCATAGTTTTTGAAAAAAAATCACGTCTCTCGACCTTTTCAGCAATGTATAATGGTATGAATTGATAGTTTTACCTATTTATAAGTAGTAAAGAGATGTTGCCTATTTTTATTTGTTCTTTTACTAACGACATATAGGTATATATATATATGTGGCTCCTGGGCTCTTGAAATGCAGCCAGTATGACTGAGGAACTTAGATTTACTGAATCAAATAGCTATATATGATCTCTGTCTACTGTATTGGATTATATCATAATCAAGGTCTATTCTAATTATACCCAACCATTGAGGTCTAGCACACCTCATGTAGTACTCTTTCTGCTCAGGTTGAGCTATGAGGTTTGGAACCTCAGGCCCAGAGAGAAGAGATGATGAACTTTAGAGCCTGCCACTTGGGCCATAATTTTGCCATAGGCTTTTTGCCCCACTTCCAACTCTGTCATGGGCTCATAGACCCTTGATCTTTAATCTCAGGCCAGACCTGTACTCTGAGGCCAGTTTGGAAGCCAGGGAGTTAGGCACTTGAAGTTTTTTTCCAGGAAAACAGGAGAAGTCTGAGGGTCAGAGTCATCATTAGACTTTATAACCTTAGGAAGCACAAGCATAGTGATTTGAACATTCAGGTTTAGTCAAAGAACAGCCTCCTTATCCACTTCTCCCTGTACCTTCTCACCCAACAGACCATGAGAGATTTTCAGTGTTGTGCAAGCATTCATGACTTTTGGACTGATTGTGGTAGCCCAGCCTCAGAATCCCTCCCGTCTTTTGCTTACTACTTTCAGTCAACAGATCAGAGATTATATTTGCTCTCAAAGGCCTCTCTGTGTGAAGAAAAGCAGTTGACCTTGTTTCCCATTATCAAGGAGTTCCACACTGCTCTATTAAGTCCTCATACAAAGTAGAGAGTCATGTGTATTCTTTTTTTTTTTTTTTTGGTTTTTCGAGACAGGGTTTCTCTGTGGCTTTGGAGGCTGTCCTGGAACTCGCTTGGTAGTTCAGGCTGGTCTCGAACTTACAGAGATCCGCCTGCCTCTGCCTCCCGAGTGCTGGGATTAAAGGCGTGTGCCACCAACGCCTGGCAAGTCATGTGTATTCTTGACAATAGAAAGTTTGTTGTCATACCCCTGTGTGCTGCCATGGAAGAGGTATAAAAATGGGAAAGTGATCGGACAGACTTTTGTACTCCAGAATGCAGTAAACTGTGTGCCAATGTTATCTTGATTGTTTTCTTCCAGAAACTCAAGGATTGGTGCTGCTTTGCTTTGACAAATACTGCCCTGCTGTCTTCACAGACATCTCTAAGAGTAAGCTTACGTATGACTGTGCATGGCCGTCTCTAGGCAGCCGGATGAAGGTTACTGCCACTTGTTCCCACAGCCGCTTTGCTGGACCACTGTACTCTGTTGGCTGAATGTTCGTGACACCCTTTCCTAAGGCAGTTTACGAGGCTTAGACCTGTTGGACCCCGAGTCATGGAAGCTTTGGAAGTAGATGACATCAGCCCTGCCTTAGAGGTGACTGAGGACTTCTTTAGTACTTTTGATAGTAAGCTGGAAAAGGTCGTGCAGCAAGCAGAGGTTTATGGAATTCAGGAAGTCCCTGAACTGGTGGGGCATGAGGTATTCAGTAACATAACAGACAATGGTGCTTTGAGAAATGTTGCCACCCTGGGCAAGGGGACCATGATTTGGGACCACTGTAAGAGCAGGCTCCTAGAAACCAAAGCTCAAAATGTCTTCCCTGCCAAAGAACAGCTTATGGTCCAGAGAGGGACAGCCCCAGATAACCTTTCCTGGATGGAGCAGAAAGAAGCGTCAACCTTCAACCTTTTCAACATCTGTCAGCGTCGGAGGGACAGACCTCGTTCTGTGAATGATTTATTGGACGAGACCACGACTTTCAAGCCAGGACATGCTCGATCAAGGTCCGATGTTACCCATGTAGACTGGCGGGTAGTCCTCGGCACCATGCCTTTGCAGCAGCAGCAACAGCAGCTGTCCCTTCAAGGCCCTCACTTTGGCAGGCCATCTTTTCTGTTGCCTACGCCCAGTAAGGGTGAAGACGCTCAAGGAAATACAGGTATGCTTTATATTCAATTTGCTGAACAGCTGTTCATTTCTCCTTTGTCTCTCTTATATCTGCCGACTCTCCAGAAGCCACACCTGGCTTCTCTCTCAAGACTTTGTTCTTTGTTTCCAATCAGCTATCTTTATCTTCAGAAGAGATAGTTAGTGAAATTATGGCTCTCTTTCTAATCTTCTGTGTTAGAATATTACACCAGATGCAGTACTTTCCTCTGAACAATGTGTGGTACTGCACACTCATATCAGATGTCTACTGGGTCACATACTGGACTCTATAAACCTTACTCCTTGGTGGGCTTAAGATGTGTGGAGATCCTGGGCAGTGGTGACATGTGCCTTTAATCCCAGCACCTGGGAGGAAGAGGCAGGTGGATCTCTGAGTTTGAGGCCAGCACAGTCCACAAAGCGAGTTCTAGGGCAGGCTCCAAAGCTACACAGAGAAACCCTGTCTTGAAAAAAAAATATGTGGAAACACTGTCCTACAAAATTTCTCATCCAGCTGAAGGGGTCAGGCACGAGTGACATTTCAGGAAGTTACTCAGAATGGGAGACAGAGACGACTGACTGAAGTGATTGCTTTACTCCACGTACAAGTGAGTGGCAGCGGCTCTAGGACAGAAGAAGCAGAAAACACAGTGAGCTGGGCTGCTCCGAGAGCGCTCATAGGGGACACGGAATGAAGGGCATGGAAATTCAGAAACGTTTATGGAAGATGCTAGTCAGAATCACAGTGTGGACAAAGTGAGAAAGGGCAGGTGTGGCTCAATTATAGAACCCTTGCCTAACATGAGAAAGGCCACGGGTTCAGTACCCAGCCCCAGAGGTGGTGGGGGTGGGGGTGGGGAGGAGGTGGGAATGCAGTGGAGAATAAGCAGACCTTTGTGTGCAGAGGAGGAAGGGCCAGTGACAGTTGGAAAGATGGCTAGAGTCTCGTGGTATAGGGCCTTTCATTTTCCTCCAGCGTGGACACAGATGAGTGTGTCTATGTGTATCCGACTATGTGCTCTCCTGTGTGGCATAAAAAGCCATCTTTCCATTTACCACAGCATTTTCCTTCAAGATTAAAAAAAGAAAAACTTTATGACTACCAATTTTTATTACTGATGATTCTCTATTTACTCTACTCAACTATTAAATTTAAATGCTTCTCCTCAACTCACTGGTGTGTGTGTGTGTGTGTGTGTGTGTGTGTGTTCATGCTCTTCAGTACTCTGAACTGAACCTGGGACCTTGAATATTTAGGCAAGTGCTATGCTACTAGTTTCCTCCCCACTCCTCCAGCCCCTGGTTGGTTTTCTGTGTGTATGTGCATGTATTTGTATAATTGTTTTTGTTGTTGCTTGTTTTGTTTCTTAGAAGTTCTAAGCATTGAATCTTGGCTTGCTAGGTAACATTCTACCATGGAGCTACCTCACAGCCTTTATTATCTTCTATGGCCAACTGCTAATTAAAAAGAAATAAATTTTATGTGCATGAGTGTTTTGCCTGCATGTATGTATGAGCGATGTATGAGTGCAGTGCCCCTACTGGTCACCGAGGTGGATCCCCAGGAGTATAGACAGTTGTGAGTCACCATGTGGGTGCTGGGAATAAAACCCAGGTCGTCTGTAAGAGCAACAATGCTCTTAACCACTGAGGAATCTCTCCAGTCCCATTACTACTATTTTTAAGTTAGCTTCAATGTGTCAATTGATACATTGAGCAGTTTAAGAAGTAAGGTTAATTTGTAAGTGTGATCCGAGACAAGATATCATTTGGAATATAGATAAGGTGATGCAAGGTTTCTGTCCATGACATGCCACATTTCCACATTCAATACCAAGTCACCCTTTAAGACTCTTTCCTTCCCTGTCAGATTCACAACTTACCATTTCTTATCTTTCCTTCCAGAGCAGTGGTTCTCAGCCTTTCTAATGCTCGACTCTTTAATACGGCTCCTCATGTTGTGGTGACCCTCCACACATAAAATTATTTCGCTGCTACTTCATAACTGTAATTTTGCTACTGTTATGACTTGTGTAAATAGCTGAAATGCAACCCCCAATGGAGTCATGACCCACAGGTTGAGAACCACTGTTCCAGATTCATAATCTTCCAAGAACAGCTAGCAGAGTTACAAGTATAGGACCCGAAGGAAAGGGACATTGTAAAGTGAGGAATGTGGTGACTGTTTTAGAGAATAAAGAGACAACCCATTGCTGGACCCCTGTGCCTAGAGGACCCGATAGCTTTGCATTTGATCTGTTACTCCTATGAAATAGGTAAACTCTTCAACAAGCAAATAACCTCAGTAGATTGTTAGAATTCACATGGCATTTTGTCATTAAGTCACCTTAACCATTTGTAGGTCTTCAGCAGGTCCCAGATGAAGAGGTTATCACATTTCCAACTTTATTTTTCCAGTTTGTTTTGATTGTAAATCCAAGAATTGGGCATCATTGGTATCTTTAATGCCCTGGTCTTTCCCCTTTAAGTATCTGACAAATGTGATCATTACTTTTTTTGATTTTGCTTATTTTTTTTTTCAAGGCAGGGTTTCTTTGTGTAACCCTGGCTATCCTGGAACTCTCTCTATAGACCAGACTAGCTTGAACTTAGAGAGAGCGGCCTAAGTGCCGAGTTTAGAGGTTGTGATTGTTATTCTTTTGTTCTTGAGTTTTAAAATTCCAAATACTAATTTATAGTGAAATATAGGTAATGATTTCTGAAAAGGAAATTATAACACAGGGACTTTGCAGGTTTAGAATAACACATCTTTTTTTGTTGTTGTTGTTGTTTTTTTTTTTTTTTTTTTGAGACAGGGTTTCTCTGTGGCTTTGGAGGCTGTCCTGGAACTCACTCTGTAGTCCAGGCTGGTCTTGAACTTACAGAGATCCACCTGCCTCTGCCTCCCGAGTGCTGGGATTAAAGGCGTGCGCCACCAATGCCCGGCTTAGAATAGCGCATCTTAACCAGTGCTTGGTCATTACAATAAGAATAGACAGACTTGAGCAAAAGGCATGGCAGGTGTGTGGAACATTATTTTAAGATATGTTACATTTGTTTATGCTGTGGAACATTTGTTTAATGCCTCAAAGATGTGTTGCATTTGTTTAACTCTGTGAAGATGTGTTACTTTGGCTGTCTAAAACACCTTTTGGTCTAATAAAGAGCTGAAGGGGTGATAGCTGGGCAGAGAAACGATAGGCAGGACTGGCAGGCAGAGGGAATAAATAGGAGAAATCAAAGAGCAAGCAGCAAGAAAAGAAGGAGAGAGGACACCAGGGGTCAGCCACCCAGCCACATAGCCAGCCAGAGTAAGAGTGAAAGTAAGATAAAGGAAGTAGGTGAAGGAAAAAGCTCAGAGGCAAAAGACAGGTGGGTTAATTTAAGAAAAGCTGGCTAGATATAAGCCAGACTAAGTCGGGCATTTATAAGTAATAATAAGTCTCCATATGATTTATTTGGGAGCTGGGTGGCGGGTCCTCAAAGGAGCCAAAGAGTAAATACAACAACAGGCAGGCTTCTTACATCTTTTCTTTCTGATAAGCTCTGCAGAACAGACAACATGTGTCATGTTTTATTGCCTACCAGGTAAAGAGCAGGGGCCAGCAGGGGCCTCCAGTACTTGGGCTGGGAGAAAAAAGCATTCTGGATTGTGGCTGATCACCCATTTTGAGGCGTACACAGTTCTCATCTAGGTGTCTGCAGAGAACTGATGTGAACTGACCCTGTGGATTTGGAGGCACTGAAATCAGCCAGTCTCCTGGGGTCAAGGCTGTCCCACAGGGTGAGTTCTCAGTGACAGAGCCATCAGGGCACAGCAGACACTGGGAAGGCAGTAAGGTATGAGCTGACATTTGGGGTCTTGTGACATTATTTGTCTGTCTTATTTTAGAAGCTTGTGAATGCATTCTTGAGACTGCATTGCTTCAGACATAGGTAGACCAGGGCTGACTCTTTCAAAAGGAATGTTGACTGAACTAGTGGAGAAAGGATGCTTCAGGGGATCCAGCCATGGGATATGGCTCGAATCCAGTCTCATTATTACAGTGTGCAATATGTGAAAATGACTGGCTAATAAATGTCAGGGGGTTAGGTCATAAAATGATAAAAAGGAACAGACCTAAGACAAAGTGGCAGCAGTTATTATAAAGGATTTCAAAGTATGTGTTGGAGCCAACGCTTCCTTAGGCCCTTAACATCCTAGGCATCTTAACATCCTAGTGTCCACTGAACCCAGAAGCTGTACCATTCTGAGGGCTTTGACTCCATCATAAGAATGTCTGATTTCCAGCCCTAGCAGTAACCTTAGTTGTATAAAGACATGCTCTTAAGGAATATAGATGAGTGTCCGTCCTTAATGTTCCTCCACTCTGTGTCACTGTCTTGTTATTCACTGAGGAACAGAATACTCACAGGCATGAAGGAATTCCTCAGAGGATAAAGAAGGTAGAGTCCTGCCGTCACACGATGAAGTCCAAATACACACACACCTTAAGGTAAAAAGTTCAATGAGCATGTGACTGTTAGGTCTGTTGTTGTATTTTCAAGACAGGGTTTTTCTCTGTAGCCCAGGATGGCCTCAAACTCAGAGATCCATTTGCCTTTGCCTCCTAAGTGCTGAGTTTACAGGCATGGTCCACCACCTCCTGGCTAGGAATGTTTTTATATATGAATAATAGGTTGTATGCACACACATGCACACCTATTAAGTGAAGACACGTGGTAGATGAAGATAAGACTGTCTAGAAAGAATATTCAGCTAAGACTCAGGAGTCTTACCCCAACTCTACCCCTGACTCACCATGTAAAAAACCTCTTATTGTCTCTTTATAAACCTACTGAGAGATTAAATTATCTCTGAAGTCCTTCCCAGCCCTAAAACTGCATCATTCTAGGATGTTTGAACGGATTCTGACTCGTGGTCGTGTGGGAGCTAATTGCTATATTGAGATCAATAATTAAAGATGATTTTCTGAAACAAAAGTTTGGTTAGACATTTTTGACAAGTGA